GACCTAGGTTAGTTCTCCGCTCGAATCAGATCTCTCTCTCCTTCTCTCTGCGTTGCAGACCTGTTTCGTGTCATAGATTTGTTTTATGTTTATGGTGTTTGGGCCAACTCTACCTGGGAGTAGAGGGTAGTGGAGAGGAGAGGAGCGGTCCGAGACAAACCTCCAAGTCACCAGCAACAACTACCAACCAAAGTGGTTCGGCCAGCCAAACAACAAAGAGTCTGTCCCAAAGTCCGGCCGCTGTTGTTGCTGTTGTTTATGAACAAGAAGTTTTGCGGCTATGGATGTGGTTTGTGGTTTAACTGCTTTTATGGTAACACAAAAAAAAAAAGTAACAAAAAAAAAACAAAAAACTAAAAATCAACGAAAAAAACAAATAAAAAATAAAGAAAATTATAATAAAACAAGAAAGTTTTCGAAATAAACCTCGAACCGAAAGATAAATGCTCTTGGCCAAGAAAAAATATAAGTTCTTTGGAGAAACTTAAATAGGTTCAGGTTGAAATATATTTTTGTTAATTTATTCTTGAATTTAATTTTAATTGAAAAATTAAAAAAACAGGTTATTTTAATATTAATCTGCTTAAAATTGTTTTAGTCTTAGCAAAATATTTGTAAATTCGTCTTTAAATCTTAAATCCTTTTCTAACTAATTTGGTTTCAAAGAAAACTTATGTTTCTGTCTTTAGATAAATATTTAAAAAAAAAAATGAAATAATAATTTGACTTACTAAAGTACACTCATTATAATTTAATATTATTAATATAATAATATTAAATTTAATTAATTAAAAATGTATATAAATATGTTCATAAACGAAAACAAAATCTTAAAATGAATTAAAATTTAAGTGTTACAAAAATTTAAAATTGTAAAATTAAAATAAAAACCTTAACAAAATCTGGAAAATTGGAAGAATTTAAAATATATTTTTTTAAATAAAAATACTTCAATTTTTCCCGGATTTTATAATATATATATATAATTTTTTTATATATAGTTTTTTTAGTATACATTTTATTTAATATATATTTTTTATATATATCTTATCTCTCAGCATTTTCAGCTTTAATTCGAAACACTCCAACCCATGGTAGTGCCACCGAATTTTGTTAAAAAGTCATCAAAGACCAACAGGAGCAACAATAACAACATTGTAACTGAGAGTCACGATGTTTGGTAGGTTTGATCGTAATACCCTGGAAATGTGTTATAATTTGACCAGGCTTAACCTTATATATTTTTATGATTTGTAATATTAATTTGAATATAAAACAAACGCCAGAAAATTCATTTCCCAACCGAAAAATAATTAAATATATTTTTATATATCTAACCCAAAAAAATAGTTCGTTATTTCCAAGGTATTTTTGAGGTCGATCCCTTTGGCCTACCCTCTATCTTGTTTTCGCTGGTTTCAAAAACCAGTTTTGGCTTAAAGTCTAAACTTTATTTACAATATTGTTTTCTTTTACGACGTCGTCGCTGTCGACCGCGATTGTTGATGTTGTAGCTGCGGTTGTTGGTTTGACCCAAGCCCCTTTTTGTAATAAAGAAACTGGTATACGAACAAGGCCCATCCACAGGCACAGCCACTCGAAACCAAGTCCCCTGGATGCTGCCTCAAATCCAGACCCAGAGTCAGAGCCTCAGCCTCACGACAATTTAGCCAATTTGATGTGCATCTCATGGCCCGAAACGATTTCAGTCTTTAGTTTGCATAGAAAACGGATTCGAGGAGAGAGATGAGATGAAATGGGATGACCGCGCAGATTTGATTTTCCTCGAGAGCCCTTCGGGTGCCCGTGCCTTTGGTCTTTGGTGTTGATTGGTCCCGTGTGGTTTATCAATCATTAAGACTGACCGCCGGCCGGAGTGAGATCGTAAAAGTAGGGCCTAAAAGGCCATCTCTACGAATGGCATCCCATAAACGGGGCCCCCAGAAAGGAGCAAGCTAGACGGCCTCATATACCCTATACTTATAGGGTTTTTATGGAATGGATGCCCAACTCGGATGAGTTACAGCCTCGAAATGAGCAATTTGGACGGTCATTTGATTGCATGTTATAGACCCCGGAAAAATCCCAGATGGAGGAGAGTGCACTTAAATTATCTTTCTTCTTTAGCCTCTCTTCAGGGGGCTGTAAAATCTTTTGGTTTTGGGGGTAGAAATTTATATTCCTAATTGGGTTAAAAGATGTTTTCTAAGATGGCCCAGAGAACTACCTGTTATTGGTTTCATTTTATAAAGAGTTCTTTAGAGTTTAATAAGCTTTTATTTAAGTTCATTTTATTATAAAAATATTAATAATAATTTCACAGCTTAAAAATCCCTTAAACCATATTTAAAATGTTTCTATAAAACCCCATCTTGACCCTGATTCATCCAAATTACATACAAATATATACAAACAAGTGCAATTTACAAATTTTTAAGGACTTTTTGTAGAGACCACCAAGGGAACCTCTCAGGAGAAAAACCACTAAGGAATATAACACCACTCAACGTGGTGACCTCAACCGCAACGAGGAAAGCTTTCTGAGGGAAAAACAAGGCGGAAAGCGAAGGAAAAACAAGGAAAATGTCAATAGCTTAGGCAACGACATAATTTGCTTTGCTTAATTTCTGCTACGTTTTGGTATTTTTATTGCAATTTCTGTTTCAGTCGTTTGGTTAACCGGAGGAGGACAGGGCTGCCAGCAATTCCGCAATTTGCCAATGAGTGTCGGTCCCGTGTTCCGTGTCCCTAGTCCCGTGTCCTGGTCCTGGGAGTCCCAAGTTCGGATACGGCTGTGGTCGGAGCGTAGCAATGTAACATGCCAAATGTGTCCCGGAATTTAATTAAACATTTTCTGCGCTTATTCGTGTATACCACGTTCCACCCTTCGTCCCTTCTGGTTGCTTTTCCTGTGCATCACTAGTGCCCACGCCTCCGGTTCTTGGACATACACTTGGAGAAAATATATATAGGCTTTAATTTAAAATGTAACATATTTTATAAAATTTAAAATACAAATTTTGCAATATTTTTTCTTGTAATATTCTAAAAATTTTACGTTTATACATAAAAAAATAAGGGTTTCCCCTAATAATGTCAAAATTAGTTGAGAATTTTAGTATTAGAAAGGAAAATCCCCCGAAAATAGATTAGTTTATATTATAGAATTTAATAATAATAAAAACAATATATTAATAATATAATTCTATTATAGTTAACTTAATAATTTTAAAACATATTATAAATATATAGTCTCTGCAAATTGTTAATATATTTTCAATTCTTAAAATATTTTCTTGCAGTACCCAAGCCCATCAACCTCGTCGCCAATGTCCTGTCCGAAATTCTTGTCCGGGGGTAGCTTTTACTATTGATTCTGGGACTCCTCAAAGCTGGCAGGGGCCGTGTACGGGGCGGGCCAGTAAATGGCAAGGTTATTGACATATTTTAACAACTATTTGCAAAAGGCTTTAGTTTCACTTCAATTTCATTCCCCTTGTCCTTGCCTTCCTTCCCCTTTCACGCATAATTGAAGCAAGTGCAGAATGTCTTTATCCTACGAGGGGGAGCTCCCTCTCCCACTGCCTCTCCCTCCCTTATCCCCCCCGGAAAACCCCGGCAATTCGAATCCGGAATCGGAATTTGGACTCAGAGTCCTTCTGTTTGCTTTCATGTTTAAATGTGCTCGCGGCATCAATATTTGTATCCTTGCAAATATTTGGCATTTGTCATGTAAATAACGTTATTTCAATTACTTGATGTAAACGAAACGGACAACAGCACCAAAAAACACCAGAATGGTATAAAAAGCAAAAGCAAAAGGGAAAAGGAAAAGGGAAAAGCTAAAGGAAAAGAAAAGAAAGAGGAAGCAGCGGGCAAGGAAGCGGAAACGGAAGAAGAGCTTGAAGCTGTGTTGAAAGGGGATTGCAATACTTTCGATATTGACTGTTTGCATTGGCCAAATAACTTTGAGCGACAATTTACTTATGTTAAAAAAAGAAGCATAAAAAATTAGAGAAATATGCATATTGTAGGATTTTTGGGTTGTCTTACTTAGACTAATTAAAAAATTCGTTTAAAAAAAGTGGCCTAATTTTGATAACAGAACCCTTTTTTACAGTCTGGCAGGGTATTATAATTTTCTAAATTTTCTAAAAATTGTAAATAATAGTCAATTAAACTACTAATAAAACCTGTTCTATTGTATTTTATGAACCTAAAAAATGCTCTTTTTAAAAACAAACTCGTAAATACCAAAAAGAAAATGGAAAGTGCACCAAAAATGTATTCAGAGTAACATTTACATTTACATTTCCATTGCAATTGCGTCAATTTACTTGGGCAGCCCCATTCGAAATAATATTTTTGTGAGCAGATGGCGCCTATGAGATCCATAATAATAGTTCTCGCAAAATATTCAATAATATTGTGTTCTCGGAAATGTATTTGTGTGCGTTTGCATATAGAAATAACAAACAGCAACAAGAGTTGTTTGTGCAAATTGAGAACGGGGCGAAAAAAAACAAAAACAACACTGCAGATGTTGAAAAAATCGAGTGGACCTTCTAGGGAGGGAAGGAGGGTGCTGAAATCGAACCCCTTTCAGACAGAGCCCCTGCCACGTAATCAGCAAAAGGCGAGGCGAAGGGGAGGCGCAATCAAAGCTGACGCTTGCACAAACATGCTCATTTTTGTATATATCTCTCCCTATTCTTTATTGTACCTAGGCCCAAGTACACTCTGAGAAAATGCTATATATTAAAGTAGTATAAATTGTAAAAATATTAAATAATATTCATTTTAATTTCCATTCTCTATATAATTTAATTTTTAATAATAATTACATTTTTAATAATAATTTAATTTAATTTTAATTGTATTTTCTTCAGTGTCCCATTGCTCTCTTGTTAAATTTCCTTCGCTCTTTTGCCCAGCGTGTTTGCGCATGCAATATTGTGCTGAGAACTTTGCCATCTCAGTACTTGAAGCTCTCTCGCTGGCGTTGGACACCACTTGAGGGATGAATTCCCGCGACCGCAAGTTCTGGACGGAGTTCCTTCTCCTCTACCGATCTCTTCCGGCCGTCTGGCAGATCCAGAATCCCGACTATGGCTGCCGGGAGCTCAAGACCGCCGGCTATGAGCAGCTGGTGCGGAAGCTGAGGGAGGTGGAGCCGGATGCCAATCGAACTACGGTGGTCAGGAAGATCAACTCGTTTCGCACTAACTTTAGGCGGGATCTGCGCCGTAGGGATCAGTGCTCGGCAATGGGGGAACACTTTACTTCTACCCTGTGGTACTTTGATATCTTGAGTTTCCTTGAGGATCAGGATACAGGAGCCAGGAGCCATAGGTTAAAAGAGCAGAGGTGCAAAGGGTCGCGGTTCTCTTCAAAAGAAGAAGATGGGGATGAGGTTGGTATTTTATATATATTTGTTAATGTTAAATTAATTTTATAAATAATATAAAATTGTTTTAGTTGACCCAGTCGCCTCAGAAAGTAATCAAGGAGGAGTTTATACTTTCCCCGGTTTCTTGTCGTTCACCCACCCAGTCCGTGGCCTTGGAAAATAACTTGGCTTTATCTAGTTTTTCTGAAATTCCCGAAGGAAAATCCTCTTCCTTTCCTCGTCTGAGTGAAACGGAAGCCTTGAGCCAGGCTTGGGGCCATCAATTCGAGGAACTATCTCATGGACAGCGAACTATAGCCCGCAAATTAATCTCCGATATTTTGTATTACGGTTGCATGGAGCAATTGGATCCTGTCCTTGTTGGCCAGATGCATCAGTTAATTAATAAGGCTAAAGGATAATGATAGCGGGGGGATTTTCCCTCACCTTAATTCCTCCTTATTTCTCTCCCTAAAAATTATTTTCGCACCAGTTGTCGCAGTTAATTGTTTGGAAAACAAAACACACACACACACACAACCTTCAAAAGTTATTTTAATCCAAATCCATTTTCCATTCGGTCTGCCTTGTCAGGGAAATTAGCAAATAAATGTGCACGAAATTAAAACAAATTAACAACATTTATTTGCCGACTGTAAAACTTGGTCATTTTGTGTGGGTTCGGGAATTGAAAAACTTTTGCTAACCAAACCAAACGAAACGAAATGAAAGTAAACCAAATCGAAGGCACGAGTGCCCAAAGCAAATGACACTTTTTTCCACCCCCCACCCACCATCCCATCCAGAGCAATTGCTGCTGCTATGGGAAAAGGGGCGGCTGATGGCGCTGGCGTTGGTGGGCAGGAAAAAAATGCAAATTTATTGGCATTTAATTTAAAAGAGAAACAGAAACAAACAAAAAAGCGGCATAGAGACCAAGAGAATTGCCCGCATTCGCGGCACAAAGACCCGGAACGGAGCAGCGGAACCCAAAGGCGGCCCCGGGAACCCCCTAAAAACACCAGAACACCAGAACTCTACAGAACAGAAACCCTCATAATGTGCACAAAACTTGGCAACAACAACAACGGGAGCGGACCGCAACAACAAATGCGGCATATAAACGAGCGCATAATGAGCTCAGTAGAACTTGGACGGATGGCTGGAATGGATGGATGGGATGGGATGGATGGGTGGGATGGATGGATGGGTGTAGAGCAAAATCGCATTTAATGCCTAAAAGTACACTGGGAAAAAGTAAACAATAAAATATTGATACTTTTGTAACTTGTAAAAAGAAATACAAATGATAAGACGTTGTGTCAGTTGTAGAAGCGAAGGCCACAGTAACTTCTTTCTTTTAATTTTTTTTTAATATTTTAACAACTATTTATGTAAATACTGATTAAAAAGTACACTCAAAATAAAATAAGGATGTACTATAAATCAAATTAATATAACTTTAAAATGGGTTTTTTGAAGTATGCAAATAGTGTATAAGAAAATCTTAAGGTATTACGAACATTCTTGAAGCTTCTTTAGTGCCTAAAATGTTATTAAAAGGTGTATTTTCGCTCTTAAACAATTGTTTTAGCTATATTTAAATGTATACACTAAATGTTTCTATTAAATAAGCAAGCAAGTTGTTTTTAAATATTAATATCTTTTTAAGAAATGATCATCTTACTGTGGCCCTCAAGTTCTGTTAAAAATCTACAACAAAAAATTCCCAAAAACCTAGTTAAACCTTTTTTGAACCTAATTAAATATATTTAAATTTTTATATTATAGAAATCCTTTACCTAATATGTAAATTTTGTAATTAAATAAGATGTTTTTAAAAATTTAAGAATCTATATGAAAGTTTTATAATAATGGGATCCTTAAGTTCTGCAAGAAATCTAATATCCTCTTAACAATCTTTTTATACTTCCAATTAAAATTTCATACAACTTTGTATATATATTATTCAAAGTGTATAAAATGAGCTGCGAATCGGCGGGGGTGGTGGAGGGAGGTATTCCTGGGGATTGGCCCATATATATATTAAACACGCCCTATTCCCTGGGCGGGTGCTCTGTGTGTGTGCTGCCTTTTTTATGCTCCGTGCATATCATGCAATTACTTTCCACTCAAATGTCAATTTAAATTGAAGTTTTATGCAAAAACCATACTTGAAATTTTTCGCCACGGTTGGGAGGAGTAACAATTCCTCCAGAGGGTCTTGCTTCCGGTCCTTGCTAAGATCCTTTCACAGTTTCTGTGTGCGTGTGTGTGTGTGTGTGTGCTTTTTATGTGTTAGTTGCACATTTCGGAAATTAAGTTGAAATTTATTAGCACATCTTTGTCGTCGCTTCGGATTGCTTTGCCAGCACTTCGAGGGATTCCTTCAACGGCCTGTGACGAATCCTTAAAGCCCCTTTTTGGTTCCTTTTTCAATCGGCTGGGGGGGAGGGAGTATCCAAAAGCTGATATTAATGTGCGTGTGTTGCGGCAAATGGCGTTACATAAATTGTCAAGGAAAATCTCACAAATAAGGTGAGTTTTTTGAAGAAGGTAGGGGGAAAATCGAAAAATAATCTTCTACTAAAGAGTGGGTATTTAGGGTCTGGAAAAGTGTTTTTTTCAAAGGGGTATAGGGGGTTTATAATGGTTTATTTATATTTTATTTAAAATATGATAGTTTGGTTTAATAAATAAATCTCTAAATATTAAAATAAATATTAAAAATAATCTCCCATTTAAGGGATAGTATCTAAGGTCAAGAAAAGAGTTTTTCTAAAAGGTTTTAAGGTTAAATAATGGTTTTCTGGTATTTAAATAAATATTAAAATATTTTAAAAAATATTTAAAATGGTTTAAATATTAATGTAAGCTTTATTTTCTTTATTATTTCTCAAATAAAATTATTTATAGATATTTAGAACCTTAATTTCACATCTAAAAAAATTTCTAATTAGCTTTCTTGTTACTTTGACAAACTAGAAGCAGTGTCCTTGGCAAGTGATTACCTCAAAGGCCTGCCCCCCACCGATTTTCCCCCCTCGATTTTCCCCCCTTCATGATTTTCCCGCATCTGAGTTCAATTAATTAGCCAACTTGGATTGCTTCCGTGCTCTTAACCAGCGAGACTGGCACATCAAAGGAATATCAACCCAGCTGCTGAAGGACTCTCCAAAGCAGAGAAAATCGCAGAGAAATTATAAACCTCATCAATTAAGGACCTTCATCGGCTATATACTCGAACATACATATGTCCGATACAGCTTCAGAATCAGCGGATTTATGCAATCAACCGATGTGCCCTGCTCAGCGGAACGTAGCGCCCTTGGCAGGCAGCAGCAGCAGCAGTAAAGAATCTGAAGGACCCTCCACTTGGGACAGACACGCACAAGGATGTGGATTCGAGTTCGAATCCCGGATACGGATATGTGGCGGGGTCCTCCATTTGCCAGTGGTGTGTGTATTAGTGCCTCGATATTACACAATTTCCAATCGCATCAAGTCGTTAAAAGTTTCGATTACAAAACGCGCTTTACAATTGCCCGGCGGCGAGCTGTGGAGAGGGGTACAGGGGAGGGGTGCAGAGGAGGGACCGAAAAATAAAAATAAAAATAAGACAAACAGCAGCAGAACGACGATGTGTGTGTGTGTGTGTGTGGTGTTCACAAACAAATATTGAAAGTGGCATTAAAAAACTTTGCCAGCGCTGATTTTATTGCAATGAATTTGCGCTCAAATGGCAAATCAATGTGTTTTCCCTCTGCCAGTCAATTTTATGGTCCCCCAAACACACACAGCACACACTACACACACTCTCATGGCATATCCCCAACGAACCGAACCAGTCTGACAGCCAGTTGATGTTCTACTTGGCACTAGATACGCTCAACTGGGTGAAAGTTGCTTGGGGGCACAAAGAAAACAGGCAGTGATTGTGGCAAATAGCATGGACATTATAGCTTTTAGTCCAGATTACCTGGAAAAGTAACTGCATCTGTGGGATATATAGTTAAAGGTTTATTGGAATTAGTCAAAGTAACACATTTCATTTCATTTTGAAAGCAAGCCAACATGAATCAAATTACAAATTAGATAATGAAGATAAAATATTAATCATTATTTATTAAACTTACAAATATGTATCCTTTATAAAAGAGTTTTTAGCTGACTCTACAGCAAGAATATCGAAGAAGTTTATCGCTAAATTCGTACTTGGGAATTCTAAGCATAAGTGGTAGCAATTTTATCAAGGATACTCCCTAAAAAATATTTTAAAATATTCTACAAACATAATTTAAAGTCTGTTTAATGGAAATTGAAAAATATATATTAAAGAAAAATAAATATTTAATATTATTTAAAAATAATAGCATATAAATGAAAGCAGCTTATCAATGAATTCGTACTTGGGAATTTTAAGCACATTGATTGCTACAAGTTTCCTTTTTAATATTTTAAATAGAAAACTAATTATTAAAAATAGACTTGAAAATATTTAACGTACAAGAAAATACAATTTATAATAAAATAATTTAAAATAAATCTTATTTTAATGTTTTCAATATGAAATACACAAAAAATAAACATTTTTTCTTATTTTTCAATCGCAAAAAGTACTACTTTTTAATACAAAATATATAAAATGACTGATATTTCTTACCCCTCATAATATATAGGTACCCACTCCACAAAGAAAACTAGTACTTTTAGCCTACTAAAATTACCAAATAAAATTTAATCCGATGAAAAATTACTACCAAACACACACGTATGGCATAAAATTGATGAATGCATTTGACAGCGAACACATTAAAAACACTTTTTACAACTCTTTGTGCTAATTTTCAAAAAGCCCGAATCAGCCATTAAATAGATCCATAAACCTTAGAGAATATAGGATATGTATTCCCCCATCAATTGGGTTTCCAGTGAGTCCTGTAATCGCATTACTTATATGGCAGTTAGTTTGTTCATGTTCATGTTTTTATGTGCCACATAATCGCCATTAATTTCCATTTTGATGTCCTATCGTCATTTTTAATGCCGATGCTTTTAACGCCACATTCCCTGCTGCCACTCGTGGATAACGAAAATAAAAACGGGGCAACAAACTATGGACATAAAAAATAAACAAACATTTTAGTACTATTTTTGTTGAGTTTTCCACGTCCTCCTCTCCCTGTCGTCACCCCTTTGGTGGCAGAACACTGAAATTGATGCATTGATTTTTCGATATACAAAACATTCTCATCCGTTTTATTGCCATTGGGAGGGGGTGGTGGTGGTGGTGGTGGCACGCCCCCTCATCCAGGGCCACCTGCCCACCACCAGAGGGAGAGTGAGAGAGAGAGCTTTTGTTTTTATAGCGACATGTAATGTGATTTATTGCCTGTTCGGTCCTTAAAATAAATTCCTTTTAATGGTTTTTTATTGCCATCAGTAGTTGGCGTCAGCGTTAATGTTAATTAAACTATTGTAGTGCCAGCTGGGGGGGAGTTCTCCCCTCTCTCCATGCCACAGGAAAAGCCCATAAATCCCCAACAAAAGAGGAGCAGAAACAAGCTGAAACAAGGTTAGTGGAGATTGCAAGTGGATTGCTGCTATACTGCAGAGTTTGCAGTTT